ATATATAAAACAAAATGCCCAGTCCCACTAAGGGCGGGGGGGTTATGGATGTCAAGATTCTTCCAACTTACAGGAGGCTACATTATATGCTTCATATGAAACTATGCAGCTGGTATGTGATTCACCTGGCAGACTCAGATCCATTTTCTCCCAGTGCCACTGCCATAGGACAAACAATGAGATAGATTATTCCAGGGAGCCATGCACTGCTTGACCTTCTTAATAAAAGTGGGGGATACAGTTCCAGGGTTTCTCTTGAAATGTAGAAAATATGTAGAAATGTAATGGCAGAAATGCCAAGGCCAGTACCAACTACCATGGAAGCCAATCTTGATATTCCAGCATGTGACACTGGCTTCAGTTAGATGAAGCACGTCACATGGGCACAGGGAAAATGAAGATAAAAAGACAGATGGTGCAACAGCCACCTCCCCAACCTCAGCCTGCTTTGCTCACCTCATCTCAAGGTTTGGCCCCGGCGTTACATGCCCTAAAAATTATAATTGGCAGCAGCAACCACAACCCTATTAGGGAGGTCCTAGACAAAGTAAGGGAGGGTTCAGGGGTGGACTAAGGGGGAAAGGAAGAGGCCCAGGGAGATGCTATGTATGCAGCTGTTAGGTTTATTCTAACATGTGTGACGACAAAGTAACAACACAAAAGACGTCTGGATCTTTTACTTGCAAGGGGAGAGTGCAGCTTGCTCTGCTGGCAGCTTTCTCATCAACTCTGAGTTGCTGCACCCTTCCTCTGCTCTTTTATTTAGTTTACAAAAGTATCAGATTACATATCATGTGATCGTGTGTGAGTATATGAATGGGTATGGACTAAGAAGGCGGGTGTGAATGTGGGTGTGGCTGTGTTTGGTATTTTCTCCATCAGTCTTGAGCACACTAGATTATAATATGAGAAGCAAACAGTTCCTTAAAACGACAGTACAGCATGAAGCAATGATAATAAATTAAATTCTTCCAACAGCAGCCAACAAGGACATTGTGCCCAACATTGCCCATATTAACGTCTTGAGTCCCGTCCAGATCCTCCTGGCGACTGGCTTGTCTGGCACCAAACGCAGAAGCAGCGTCCCCACATGGGCAGTACCTCCAGACAGAGGCACGATACCAGGGGGGTTACTGAGGAAGCCTGAGAACACCTGATCATATAAGACTGGCAGGGCAATAAGAGTGATGCAAAGAGAACTGCTTTTACTTGTGTACTCATAGACATTTTGATAAAGACTGGAACATCATTATTGTGTAGCCCACATGGTATTGTGGTAACCTTTCCAGATGGAACATTTACAGTATTTACTGCTCACGTAATGGAATTGTGCTGTAATACACAAATGTTAGTAGCTGAGCACAATGCACCAACAGCTGAGGTGTGGCTATTTACTGGAGACTCTTGCAGGCAGAACCTCAGTCAGAGGAAGGTGCATTGACAACATATACAGTGGTATGAAAAAGTTTGGGCACCCCTGATCATTTTCAAGATTTTCCTTTATGTGCAAATTTGTTGTTCGGAACAACAATTTTAATTAAATATATCATATAGCAAACAAACACAGTGATATTTAAGAAGTGAAATGAAGTTCATAGGATTTACAAAAAGTGTGCAATAATTACTTAAACAAAAGTAGGCAGGTGCATAAATTTGGGCACCCCAACAGAAAAATTACATCAATATTTAGTAGATCCTCCTTTTGCAGAAATAACAGCCTCTAAATGCTTCCTATAGCTTCCAATGAGGGTCTGGATTCTGGTTGAAGGTATTTTTGACCATTCTTCTTTACAAAGCATCTCCAGTTCAGTCAGGTTTGATGGTTTCTGAGCATGGGCACCCTGCTTTAAAACAGACCACAGGTTTTCAATGATATTCAGGTCTAGGGACTGAGATGGACATTTCAGAACGTTGTACTTGTTCCTCTGCATGAATGCTTTGCTAGAATCTGAGCAGTGTTTAGAGTTGTTGTCTTGTTGAAGTTTCCAGCCCCGGCGCAACTTCAACTTTGTCACTGATTCTTGAACATTGTTCGCAACAATTTGCTGATACTGACTGGAATCCATGCGACCCTTGACTTTAACAAGATTGCCAGTACCTGCACTGGCCACACATCCCCACAGCATTTAACCACCACCATATTTAACTGTGTTTAACTGTTTGTCTTGTGTTCTTCTTCCGCCATGCATACCGCCCCGTGTTATGTCCAAATAACTCAATTTTAATTTCATCAATACATAGCACCTTCCAAAATGAAGCTGGCTTGTCCAAATGTGCTTAAGCATACCTCAAGCAACTCTTTTTGTGGCATGGGCACAAAAAAGCCTTCTGCCACATTACTCTCCCATACAGCATGTCCTGTCCATGGTTCTCCAAAGATAATCAGATCTGATAACAGCACACACTTTAAAAACAAAGAACTACAGGAGGTAGAAAAGCAGTTGGGGCTAAAACATGCATTTGGCACAGTCTATCAACCTCAGTCACAAGGAAATGTAGAAATAATGAATCGAACACTTAAAAGTAAGATCAGTATAGTGCATAAACAAAACTTAGTTGGGTAGATGCTTTGCCGATGTCGTTTTCAGCTTATGCATGGACAGCAGTTTCCAGCCTAGTAATCAGAGCAATCATAGTCCTGATTTATAAGCCATACTATGATCAGCTAATGGCTCTTGTCGCAGCTTTATCTACACAAGTGACGTAGACCAAAGGGGTTGAACAATCTGGCACACCTCACACTGTGGCAAAAGAAGAACAAACACGCTTGGGTGTTAATTAAAGGCTTAACTCTGTAAAGAAAATACAGAAAGCTAGAAGATTGTAAGATTAAATTAGATATTAGATTTGTATGTATTGTATACTTGTTCACGAATTGTACCTGTATGAGTAAGAAG